ATACAAAAATAAATTGGGTGTTGGAATGACAGAATTATAGAGATGGAATTCAGATAACTGGCTGCCCAGGCTCAGGGGAGAGGAGAGAGGGAGGGTGCGACTACAAAGGGACAGCAGTAGGGAGCTCCTTGGGGGTGACAGTCTGTATCTTGATTATGGTTAGTCAAATGGGGTAAAATGTCATGGGACTAAACCACTGCCATTGAGTGGATTCTGACTCACAGTAACTCTATAGGATAGAGTAGAACTGCCTCATAAGGTTTCCAAGGCTATAAATCTTTAAAGAAGCAGACAGCCTCATCTTTGTCCCATGGAGAAGTTGATGGGTTAAAACTGCCAACCTTTTGGTTAGCAGCCAAATGTTTTAACCACTGCACAACCAGAGCTCTTATAGAAGAAAACACATATCAAAAAATGAGTAAGATCTAAGTCTAGTGAACTGTATTGTGCCAGTCAATTTCCTGGTTTTGATAAATGCACTACAGTTAAGTGAATTTTTACCACTGGGGGAAGCTGATGATAGTACAAGCAACCTCTCTGTACTATTTTGTCCACTTCTTACTTTTTTTTTTTAGAGTTTTAAAATAGAAACAAAATGGACTTCTTTAAAACTATAACCCCAGTTTTCAAAGCTATACTAATAAATCACCATACAAGTTTTAATTAAAAAAAAAAGAGTCAATTCTCTGTAAAAGCTGACAATCACTGATGACGTTATAGATTGAACTGCATCCTCCACCAACATGAGCTGAAATCCTAACCTCCTAACCCCTGTACCAAAAATATGGCTCTGTTTGGAAATAGAGATTCTTCTTTTTTCATGTTAATGAGGACACATCAGTGTAGGGTGGATCCTAAACCTAATCACTTCTGAGTTGTAAAAAGACCAGAATAGACACAGAGACATACATAGGGGTAAGACAGATACCAAAGAATGCCAAGAAACTCTTAGGACTTCTTTCAAGGAAAGACATCCTCCCTATAATTATGCCCTGAATTCAGACTTCTAGCCTCCTGAACTGTGGGAAAATAAACTCCTGCTCTTTAAAGACATCCATTTGTGGTACTTTTTGCTTGGTAACTGAGACAACTGTGTTCCTGGAAAGAGCATGCAATGGGAATGCAGGAGATGGGACTAGTTTAGCACTGAGCTAACCAGCTGTCCTGTAAGGATGATTACACTTGGTTCCTGCCATTTAAAAGATTTCCAGTCTGGCTTAAAGAACAAGACCCACACATTGGGAGGTCACATAAAGACATGGATGTTCTCAGCAGTAGATAGTTAAGTGTCAAATGAATGGTAGGGCAATTCAGTTTAGAAGAGGAAACGATGCTTGATTAGAATCAGCCACTTGCTCCTAAAGGAAAGGCATGATATTACAGAACATAATCACAATTAATGGCAGATATGAAAGTTACATATTCAAAATAAAATAAAAGCCATCTATAAATATGAATCAGCACTCATCTGTCAGCTTGTTGTACTGTGCTGATTTGTATGTTCCTCCAATGCTTGAAGTGATGCCACTGGAATTTCAAATACCAGTGTCACCCTTGGTTGACTGTTTTCAACTGAGCTTCTGGACTAAGATAGATGAGGCAGAAAGGCTTGGAGATCCACTTCCAAAAGTCATCCAATGAAAACCATATGCATCACAACAGAACACTGTCTGATATAGTGCTAGATGATGAGCTCCTGAGGTTAGAAGGCACTCAAAATACAAAGTGGCCACAACAGTGAACTCAAGCACACCAACAATCATGGAGATGGTACAGGACCAGGCAACATCTCATTCTGTTGTACTTGGATCACTATTGAATCAGTGCCAACTCAATAGCAACTAACAACATAAACATGAAAGAAAACCACATGATCAGATTCATGTTGTTCAAAAACAAAGAGTTCCTTCACCTGCATTCATTCATTTGTTCTCTCATTCCCTCAGTCAATTGATGGCAGTGACTGAGCCCCTTACACTCTGTGCCAGGCACTGAAAGAGAAATAACCTGGACCTCATGTAGTGGGTCTACTAAGATCTTACTGAAGATAATTCAAAAACGTTTGCAGCAGTATATTGATAGAGAAATTCCAGAGGTGCAAGCTGGATTCAGAAGAGGACGTGGAACAAGGGATATCATAGCTGCTGTCAGATGGATCTTGGCTCAAGGCAAAGAACACCAGAAAGATGTTTATTTGTGCTTTATTGACTATGCAAAGGCATTTGATTGTGTGGATCATGACAAATTATGGATAACATTGAGAAGAATGGGAATT